TTTTTTTTTTTTTTTTTTTTTTTTAATTTTTTTTTTCAACGTTTATTTATTTTTGGGACAGAGAGAGACAGAGCATGAACGGGGGAGGGGCAGAGAGAGAGGGAGACACAGAATCGGAAACAGGCTCCAGGCTCTGAGCCATCAGCCCAGAGCCTGACGCGGGGCTCGAACTCACGGACCGCGAGATCGTGACCTGGCTGAAGTCGGACGCTTAACCGACTGCGCCACCCAGGCGCCCCGCCATTAGTATTTTAATAGGGATTTCATTGAATCTGTAGATGGCTTTGTGTAGTGTAGACATTTTAACAATTCTTCGGATCATGAACATGGGATATCTTTCCATTTGTTTGTGTCTTCAGTTTCTTTCAGCAGAGTCTTGTTTTCATTGTACAGAATTTTCACTTCCTTGGTTAAATTTATTCCTAAATATTTCATTGCTTCTGGTGTTACTGTGAATAGGACAGTTTTCTTTTTCAGATGTTTCATCCTTAGTGTGTAGAAATGCAGCTGATTTCTTTATGTTGACTTTGTAGCCTGCAGCTATACCAAAATTGTTGATTAGTTCAAACAGTAGTTTGGTTATTTTGGCGATTTTATATATACAGACTCATGTGCAAATATTGACAATTTTACTTCTTCCCTGATTTGGATGCTATTTTTTTTTGTCTTGCCTAGCTGCTCTAAGATTTCCAGTGATATGTTGAATAAGAGTGGTGAGAGTAGGCATCCTTGTGTCTTGTTTCTGATCTTACTGGAAAAGCTTTAACTTTTTCCCCCATTCAGTGTAATGTTAGCTGTGGGTTTATCGTTTTGGGCCCTTATGTTGAGGTATGTTCCTTCTATACCCAGTTTGGTGTTTTGTTTTGTTTTATGATGAAAGGATGTTTGCTGTATTTTGTCAAATGCCTTTTCTGCCTCTACTGAGATGATCATGTGATTTTTATCTTTCATTTTGCTAATGTGATACATTACATTTATTGATTTGCCTATGTTATCTACTTGCATTCAGTGGATAAATCCTAGTTTGGTCATGGTGTATAATCCTTTTTGTATGTTCTTGGATTTAGTTTGATAATATTTTGTTGAGGATGTTTACATCTGTATTTATCAGCAATACTGGTCTATAGTTTTCTTGTGGTGTCCTAATCTGGCTCTGGTATCGGGTAATGCTGTTCTCTTAGAATACGTTTGGAAGCATTTCTTCCTCATTTTTTGGGAAGATTGTGAGATGAACATTTGGTAGAATTTGCCAGTGAAGCTGTCTGATCTTGGGGCTTTCTCTGTTGGCTAGGTTTTGATTACTGATATAATTTCTTTGCCCTTTATTGGTCTGTTTAGATTTTTATTTCTTCCTGATTCAGTCTTGGTAGGTTGTGTGTTTCTAGAAATTTATTTCTAGGTTATCTAATTTGTTGGCTTATAATTTTCATAATGGTCTCTTATGGTCCGATTTGTGTAGTAACAGTTGCAGTGTCTCCTTTCACATTTTTTAAAATGTATGTATGTATGTTTGTTTTGAGAGAGAGAGCACACAGGGAGGGAGAGAGAGAGAGAGAATCTTAAGAGAGCCCCAACACTGGGCTCGATCTCAAAACCTGAGCCGATATCAAGAGTCGGACGCTTAACCGACTGAGCCACCCAGGTGCTCCTCTTTTTGCATTTCTAATTTTGAGACTTCTTTTTTCTCCTTAGTTTGGCTAAGGATTTGTCAATTTTATCTTTTTCAAGAACCAGGTTTTAGTTTAGTTGATCCTTTCTATTTTTCTGGACTCTTCTTCCTGCTAATTTTGGGCTTATTTAGTTTGTTCTTTTTCTAATTCTTTTAGGTTGTGTATTTGAGAAATAATTTCTTCATATATGCATTTAACTGTAAAAGCGCTCTCAGAGTTGCTTTTGCTGCATTCCATAATTTTTAAACTTCCTTTTGGTTTCTTGACTCATTTGTTCAGAAATGTGTTGTCTGGTTTCTAAATATTTATAGATTTTCCAGCTTTCCTCTGGTTGATTTCTAGTTTCAGACCATGTGGTCAGAAAAAAATGGTCTGATTTCAGTCTCCTTAAATTTGCTGAGATTTGTTTTGTGCCTATCATGATACTCTGTCCTAGAAAATGTTCTTTGTGCACTTGAGAAGAATCTGTATTCTGCTGTTAGATGTTCTGTATGTTAAGTCCATTTGTTTAAGAATTTGGTTCAATTCCAACGTTTCCTTGTTAATTTTCTGTCTGGATGACCTGTTTATCATTGACATTGGGGTATTGAAACTCCATGTTATCACTATTTTTGTCTACTTCTCCCTTTAGATCTGTTAGTATTTTAGCGTTCCAATATTGGGTGTGTACATATTACTGTTGTGTTATCTTGTTGATGTATCATATCCTTTTATCATTATATGACGACCTTTGTTATGATTTTTGACTTGAAGTCTATTTTCTTTGATAAAAGTGTGGCTATTCCCGCTTTGTTTTGGTTTCTGTTTGCATGGAATATCCTCTTCCATTCTTTTACTTTCAGCTGTTTGGAGCTGAAATGAGTTTCCTTAGGCAGCATAAAATTGGGTCTTATTTTTTAACCATCGAGCCACTCTGTGACTTCTGATTGGTGAAACCAATCTATTTATATTTTAGAGTGATTATTCTTAGGTAAGGACTTACCACTACCATCTTATTTGCCTTCTGGTTGTTTTATATCTCCATTTTCTCTTCCTCTCTATTTACCTTTGTAAAGTGATTTTTCCATGGTGATTTGCAGTCTTTTTTTTTTTAATGTTTTGTGGTGGTCTTTTTTTGCTCTGTGGTTACCATGTGACTTATGTATAAATGATAAATAAAATGGTCCTTTTTATCTTAAAAAATTTTTTTAACTTTGAGAGACAGATTGTGAGTGCGGGAGGGGCAAAGAGAGGGAGACACAGAACTGGAAGCAGGCTCCAGGCTCTGAACTGTGAGCACAGAGCCCAATGCGGGGCTTGAACCCAAAAGGCGTGAGATCGTGACCTGAGGTGAGGTCGGACACTTAATCGACTGAGCCACCCAGGCACCCCAGTATGTGTTTATTTTTGAGAGAGGACAGCATGCAAGCAGAGAGGGAGACATAGAATTGAAAGCAGGCTTCAGGCTCTGAGCTGTTAGCACAGAGCCTGACTCGGGACTTGAACTCACGAACCACGAGATTGTCACCTGAGCCGAAGTCAGACACTTAACCAACTGACCCAGGTGCCCCTTGGTCCTTTTTATTGCCTTTGTTTACCTATAAAGGTTCTACTTTTTTATTTCTTCCTTTTTATATTTATGTCACAACTTTTTTTACTGTGAATTCATTGAGAAATTATAGTAGCTATAGTTATCTTTAATGCTCCTTTCCTGAGGCCTTTATACTCTAAGAGGTTGAATACACCATTCTAATATAGTCACAGTTTTCTGTTTATTTCTCATCACTGGTGGAATTTTATGTACTTTCATTTGCTTTTATGTCACTAATTAGCATCTTTTCATTTCAGTTTGGAGAACTACTTTCAGCATTTCTTGCAAGGCAGGTCTCATGGTGGTGAGTTCCTTCACATTTTCTCTGAGAAAGCATTTTACCTTTGTATCTGAAAGGTGAGTTGACTGAAAGGTATTCTTGATGGGCAATTTTTATCTTTTACTACTTTGTCATTCCACTCTCTCATGGCCGTCGAGTGTCTGCTGAGAAACCTGACAGCTAATGGGGGTTCCTTTGTAGGTTTCTCCTTTTTCTCCAGTCTCTAAGATTCTTTATCACTGACTTCTGACAGTTGCTTATAACGTCTTGAATAAGGTCTTTGTACATTAATTGAGTGCTCCATTAGCTTCTTGGACTTGTGTTCTCCAATTTCTTCTCCATGTTGAAGAAATTCTCAGCTATTATTTCTCTAAATATGCTCTCTCTCCCTTTTCCTTCTGGTAGCCCTGTTACAGTTTGATGGCTTTTGCAGGGTTTCTTCACTTTTTAGTTCTCTTGCCTCTTCTGAATCATTTCTAAATTCCTGTCCTCTAAGTTGTTAGCTCTTGATCTGATTTCCTAAGCTTTCTAGTCTACTGCATTCTGTATCTCATTGAATTCTTTAGCTCTGGAATCTCTGGTGTTTTTAAAAAAATTTCAGTCTTTGTGCTAATTAACTCCTTCTGTTCATTAGTTTTATTCTTTGGTTTATTGAATTAGCTTTCTGAGTTGAATCTCTTCATAACAACTATTCTGAATTCTTGATCAGTTAAGATCCCAATATTCCACGCCTTTGAGTTTGGTTGCTGGAATACTGTGATTTCTCAGAGTATTCGATGAAACGTGCCTCTGCCATCACATGTGAAGTAGCACACACTTTTCTTGTTGATTTTGTTACAGTTCAACAGACAGGCAGTTAAATCCTTTCTGTTTTTCCTAAGGTGGCCACATGCTGTAGCTCAAGTTTTGGGTTTCTTTTTACCTGAGCTGACTTTGGTGGTGTAGTTGGGAGTGTGTGCTAAAAAAGCTGGTGTACACAGTGCTGGAGGGGTGCCCGTGGCATGAGAGGGGATCCTCCAGTGGGGGTGCTCCTGGAGGTCCGTGGGCAAACCTGCTGAAACCCCAAGGGAGGCAGCGGGGAATGCGTTCCTTCAGTGCCTGTTGTTATTCTCGTCTGCCTCTTTCCTCTCTTTCCCCCTAGTCCTGGAGGTCCCTGTTTAGAAATCTGAGCGCTGTTGGAGAGAAAGGGGTCCCTCCAAATGCAGCCTGTGCAGCCAGGTGGTTGGTCAGTCACCACTCGTGCTTTCCCTGTCCTCTGTGAGGGAGGACGCCTCCAAACGCCCCCCCCTGGCTGGCAGGACCTCCACTTCTCTATCTTCCTTGCATGTCCACCCTGGTTTGCACTCTCCAGTAGTGCTCTCACCTGATCATGGCAAGACGGGCACGCAGGGTCACCAGTTCCCTTGGATCCAAAGCCCCCCCTGAGGTCCTGTCCACCTGTTTAAAAAAGTCTCCTGGGTACGTAACGCAGTCACTTTTTGTTTGGTTATGAATAACCAGTTTGTTGTAAATAAAGGGGCGAGTGAAAAGGTACAACTCGCGCTGCCATGATGACGTCTCTTGTCTTCGGACTTGGAATCCAGTGTTGTTATATCAGATTGATGACTCCCTCCCCACAAATGTGGGCAATTTCTGGGTGATTTGCATACAATGAGTTGTTTCTCAACAAAAATTAGCTAGCGATGTGGTAATGTGTCAGACGATAACAGTAATTATTCACAATCTGCAGCAAGTCGTAGAGAGCATGGATTCTTGGCCTTGTATTTTACACAAGAGCAAGTAAGGCGCAGTTTAACAGCTAGTTTAAGAAATGTCTGGGACTAGAATCACAAGTCTTTGTCCCCAAGACCAGAGTTCTTGTAAGCTGCTTTTGGCAGTTTCTACCCCTAAAGAGAAAGGGGTTTGTGTAAGTTAAAGCATGTCTTAAAACATTCTGAGCAAGAGAATACCTTTCATCTAGAAAACCTGGTATTTTTTCATCTGTTCCTCTTAACGTTACGTTCTTTGTTCAAAGCACCAAGAGTTTCACATATGTTATCTAACTTGTTTCTTCAAATGTTTCTGTATTTCATTTTCTAGGAGTCTTTGACAGGGAAGGAACAACACTGAGGACAAGGTAGGGAATTCTGAGGCCCTTTTGGGCAATTTCACTACATAGAATTATTTAAGGAATTCTAGCTACTGGATGTTGATTTTGGGTTTGTGCTGATAGGCCTCCAAAAACACATGGCCAACCTGGATGTTTTGGAAAAAAGAAAACCTTTAATAAAATGAGTGATAATGTTAGATCTAAGCATCCCTAGTTACCTATCACTGGTAGGAACCTGAGCCAGCCCTCAACATGACCCCTGGACTCCAAATACTCAATCCTGTCAGCCAATTAACATCTTCTTTTTGTTTGAACAACTGCCTGTTGTCCTTTTCCTTATCCTCCTCTTGCACTATGCCCTTTTCTCTGTGGGGCATCTTATAATTAGGACCTCCTAAGCCTAACCAAAAAAAGGAAGCTCCTGGTACTATAACAGTTACCAGTTTATACATTATATATTATATTATGTACAGCTGTGTATCTGCCAGATACTGTCTAATGTATTTACAAGATCAAGGTATTACAAGATGTACAAGATGTATTTCCTTGCTCATTTATATTAAGAGGAAGGCTTACATGCTTTTTTGGGGAGATGCTTAGGCAACCGTAAAAGTCCCAAAACATCCTGATGAGTAGGTTAACAAAGACCTCTAGGGGAGGAGGATTTAATTTCATCTAGAAAAAGGGTGTGGTGTCAGCACAGTAGAGCTGACCAGTAGAAACTGGTTTTTCTCAAGGAGGCTGTTGTGAACACACTTTGGGCCTGGCACCAACACTTTAAAATGGTACCTTTCTGGCATACAGGGAGCTCTGTCGGTCTTGTTCTACTCATGTAATGTGAGCCAGGGCCTCCACTGGTTTGAAAGAAAGCCAGAATCCTTTCTGTTCTTTTGTGGCTCTATCCTACGAGTAATCAACCTGGTCAGCGTCTTCAGCGCTTTTCCCTGGGTTAGCCCCACTTCTCTCGGCGTCTGAAAGAAAAGAAAAGGAAGGTACCTGTTCCAGCTCTTGGTAGGTTGGCAGTCTGAGATGACGGAGATCCTCCTTTGATTTTATGAGGGATTCTTTATTCTCCCACTTGACAAAAGCCCGCTTTCTGACCAAGACTGGGCTGGGGCAAGGAGATGTGGGACTAGGAAGCACATACAGAGTATCCTGGGCTGTCTTCCTTGGGGAAGAGAGCACAAAGGGACCACAGGGACGCTCACTGCCAAGCCAAGGCGGGGATTCCGTCTGGGTGGCCTTGTGGGCGACAGTCCTCTTCAGCCGAACAGAAATCTTCTGTGAGGACACTCCCATGAGCATGATGGTCCGATCTTTACTTTCCTCACTGTGTTCCACAGCCTCCCCATTAGGGAATGTGAAAGGTCCCTCCTCAGGTGCTGTAGGAAGATACGTGGCATGTTGGTACTCTAGTCAGAAAAACAGACTCAACTGACAACTTTCTTATTCTAGGCCCAAAGTGGACTCATTTGCAGGCACCCTCTTTAGGGGATAAAGGCTACCAGAGCCACTGGTGCCAGGCTGCATCTACCCAGAGAAACAGGCATTTTTCTATTTGCACAAAGGCTGCCCAGAAGATTTGTTTCTGCAGGTAAGCTCAAGTCCCTGCCTCAGTGCAAGAGAAACGGTCTATGAATATTAAGTAAACATTTCGAAAAAAAAAATTCTTTTTATTTCAGAGCATATGTGAATGAGGGGGAAGGGGCAGAGAGGAGAGACAATCCTGAGGAGGATCCACTCTTATAGCCCAGGTGATGTGGGGCTCGAACTCACCAACCGTGAGTTCATGACCTGAGCTGAAATAGAGAGTCCGATGCTTAACCGACAGCCACCCAGGGGTCCCAGTCCATAAATACTTTCTGTGGACCCTGGGATTTGGGAGCTCTCAGCATTCAAGGTTTGGTCCTATTATAGGAGCAGGTAGGAGTTTTCTTTGGGACCCATTTGTATAGTGGGAATAGCATAGGGAAGTTCTAGCTTTGTTTGATACTGGTTGGAAAGGAGAGAGGAATCATTCTGGTTTTCTTCTTCCACCCAACACCCTTGCCCAGGACCCAGCCTGGATAGTGTACAAATCCAACGTGGCTTCTGGACAACAAAAAAATTTCTAATACTAGAAACCTTATAGGGATCCTAGTTTAACTTTCCCCCAGAGGACATAATTTAGCACTAAATTTTTACCCAAATAAAGTTCAAAACTGTAATTAACACAAGTATCAGAATATTTAAATTACTGTATTTATCCTAAAGTAACAACCCTGTATTTTTTGGAGGAGCATTTTGGATGATGATATTTTGTATCTCCATCTTTTAATAGGCCCCAGACCTTCATGTTGCTCTCTGCCACCTTTCTCCCATCAAAATTTGTATTTTATGTGACAGAATTGTGGTCCCTAAAGATGATGTTTAACTCTGAAAATGTGTCTTCCACAATGGTGTCTGTGGTGGTTTCTATTAAGAATGGGAAGGACAAAGGTCATCTTTCCTCCCCGAAAACTTTACCCTTCCCACTTCACTTTCCAAGAGGAATGTTCTCAGTGTCTCCTTACCATGGAGCAGGTCTTTGGCTCCCAGTGAGCAAAGGCTGGATGTTGGCCCTCCAGGAGTACTGTTGTCGGTTATTGCTGCTGGGTTCTTGGCTCGCTTCTTGCACTCAAACACAACCAGATCTTTGCATTGTTTGTGGCAGTTCATCCCGCAGTCTGTGGACAAGACAGCCTAGTCAGCAAGGCTTTGGCTTTCTTTTCCAGAGTCTCAAAACCACACTCATGCAGGGCTGTCTTGTCACACATGCCTGTCCTAGTCTGGAGCTAGGACACCTGCTATTCCTAATGAACCTAGTAGTCGTATTTGGTCAACTCTGGATCTTACCATCTTGCTGTAGCCCTTATCATGAGTCTCAAGCAGCATCCACTGTCTTGGAGACAAGTCATGTCCTAGTCATCCTGCATATACTGCCTACCTTAAGGAGACCCCCTAAAGGCTCCCAGCTCTTAGGTCTTACTCTTTCTTCCTTGCAGTAAAAGTCTCCTGTCCACTCCTGAATTTTTCTAGTCATAAGGAAGGACAATTAGGCCCTGAGGTACCTACTGATAAAAGGAAAACTGGCAAGGCCCTTTGGTAATCACTTCCATTCCCAAAGTGCCTTTCCTTAGGGACCCACCTTTTCATGGCCATATGAAAGCCTCTCCTACCAGTGATCTCTGTTTCCAGAACAACCCATACAGAGAGAGGACCTTGTAAGGGGAAGCTTTATAACCGGTCACCCAGGCATTCCTCTTCTCTGTGGTGGCAGTCACTCTCAGTGGGTGCTCTAGGGAAGCCAGTTTGGGGATGAGGCTGTAAGCTGCACTGAGAAGTTGTGGATTCAATGGACAACTACTATCGGTAAAAAATGCTTTATTAGGAGAGCGTCAAAGACCAGAAAAAGCAAGACAATCCACAAAACTGAGCCTTACCTTTACATCGGTATCCTTGTTTGATCACTCCCCAGAGCTATGAGACAAGATAGGAGACAGTTAGAGCACACTATACATCCTTCATCAATCTGGTATTAGGCGAGACATTGATACCCATTCTTTATTTTCCCTCATTGTGCTCTCTTCCTCAAGGAAGGAAAGCCTTGTTTATCTCCTGTCTTAACCCTCCTGACCTTAAACTGCAAACACGAAGATTTTGTGATCACAGTCTCATGCTCTCAAGAAGCTCAGTAGTGTGGACTTACGGCCTAGGCCTTCTTTTTTCTAATTTTTTTTTAATGTTCATTTCTGAAGGAAAGAGAGACTGAGCGTGAGTGGGGGAAGAGCAGAGAGAGGGAAACACAGAATCCGAAGCAGGCTCTGAGCTGTCAGCACCGAGCCCTATGAGGGGCTCAAACTCACAAACTGTGAGATCATGACCTGAGCCGAAGTCAAACGCTTAACAGCCTGAGCTACCCAGGCACCTCTATGGTCTAGGCCTTCTTGAGGCTTGAAGTAGATGAATCAAAGAATAAACAGGTTTCTCAGAACTCCAAACTAAAGAACAAGTATACAGAAGACAGAGGAGGGGCAGAGCTACATGGCTTCTTAACAGCAGTTCCTTTTGAAGGGGGAAGAGCAGGGATGTCTATTTTTTTTTTTTCTAACATTGGAAATAGCATCTGAATATAATTACTTAAAAAGTATGTCCCAAATATAACATTTCCTTACCATTTGTCCCAAGCCTCATGCACCAGAGGTAAAAACAATATCCGGAAGAAATGGTAACATTCAATTCAAGTTAACCATGCATCAAACCATTTGAGAACAAGGTTATTAGAGCTTAGGCTCTAAGCTGGCATAGTTGATAAGGGACTCTAGGAACAACTTACAAATCCAGCACAGTTGTCACAGAAAGTAGGTTTCAGGTAGGTGGTCTCTTGGAAGTTGTGAGGAAAGCCCAGGCCCAGCTTGGAGTAGATGGAGCTGGCTCTCATGAAGTAGGCCGTTATCTCCTCTCTGCTGATGAGGCCTTCCCTGCCAGCGAGCGACAGACCAGGTGTGAGTAGGGTCTGAGGTAGAGAGACTGGCTTCTAGCCTTAGAAACTCACCTTTTTTGTTTTGCTTTTTGTTTTTAATTTTTTTTTTTTAAGTTGATTTATTTGAACAATCTCTATACCACACGTGGAGCGCGAACTCACTACCTCAAGGTCAGGAGCTGCACATGCTCCACCGACTGAGCCAGCCAGGCACCCCTCACTTTTGTTTCTATCCTTGCGTGGCAGTACAGCACATAGGACTGAGGATTACTTCCATGAGCCCTCTTAAATAGCGATACATGGACAGCATGTAATAAAGAGGTGACGTGGTAGTATCCACTTCTACAGAGGTGTTATCTGGCCAAAGCAGGTTTTCCTAGCAAATTTTAAGACTTGAAAAAAGAAATGGAAACTGCGTATAGGGAGAGAAATACCTTATGCTGCGGTTTGCCTTTAGATAGTACATGACATATAACTGGAACCCACGTGCCATACCTTTGATTTCACACAGAAAACCAAGAGAGCTTCTATCAACTTCAGAAAAATAGGCAAGGTATTAATAAATAGTTGTTTCTCATAATCTGTAGCCAGAAGGAAGACTAAAGTTTTTCTTATTTCTTGTTGACTAAACTGGCAGGCTTATGAAATTTTCAGTTCTGAGACATTTAACACAGATGTGTTTTTTATTGTCTGTTGTGATCTGAACCAAAACCAGACAGGCATTCATGTGATGATTGCTCCCTTAGCACCAAGAGCCTCATATTCCATACACAGACCCTCACCTGTCTTTGTCCATCACACAAAAGGAAAAGGGGAAACTGGCGGCAATCTTCTCAAACTCTTCCTGAGAAATGTATCCATCCTGGTCATGATCATAGTTCTTGAAGACCGACTGTGAAAAAAGGAGTTTCTCTGGTGGTTACCAAAGCAAAACCGATCGTTTCTCCCTTTAGCCAAATGACAAAGGGTTGAGCATCTGATAAAAGCCTCTCCTCAGCCTGAATGAGAGGACACGGTTCCCTCAGGTCCATTAGTGTACCAATCGTGCCGTCTGCCTGGTGCCTGCGTGCTCCTAGCTCACTGCACAGGGGTGTCCCCTCTGCTCTGCCCCCCTTCCACTGCTTCTGTGAACAGCCCAGCTGCAAGCGCTCCCTGCCCTGTAGTCCTCTACTAATTATTCTGACACGTACTGGCTCTCACTTTTCTGTTATGCTGGATTGGTCCATAAGGATGAATATAGACACACTCTCCTCAGCAGTTAACCATGAAGAGAATCAGGAGGGCCAAATTTGCAGTATTAGATTCTCCTTATTATCCTTATTTCTACTAAAACCCTTCTACCACCTCTCTGCCCCCAAATCCACTGCTATGCTCTCCTGCTTGGTCTCTAAGAGGAGACACACCCCCCCCGCAACAGGAAGTCAAAGCGTGTTGGCAAAACGTAACCAATGAACTGTCCTGCAGGCACAATATGAGGTGTGCGCTAGGAACAAGTGTCAGGTTTCCCACCTTTGCGCGTCTGCCACCGTGTCCCCCAGGCCGCATACAGAACTATGCCAGTTTGTATGTGCCTTGCTTCTGTCGGCTGGAGCACAGCTGTACTTACATCCACCATCCTCTGGACGTGTTTGCTTATGGTCTTTGGGTCAGGTTTGGGAGATATTCCAGAAGCCCAGTCCACTACTACTGGGGGCTTTGAAGGTGTTAGTGGCTGAAAAGAAATATTCAGAGAAATCCCTGTGACTATAAAGCACTACAACCAGCAGCAACTTCCTTTCCCACTACCTGATGGCTGCATCTATGGACAGCCCTCAACTATGTGCCAGGGCCAGGAACTGAGAGCCGGTGGAACTGAAATCTTGAGCTCTAATCCTGGCTAATAACAACTGTTGTGCTTCATAGCTGACAAAATGCTTCTCATGTGTATTATCTCCCATCTACAGATAATTTAAACTTACCCATTAGACTTTCTGTCAAACTGTCAGCAAAAGACTGGATCATTTAAATTTCCTCTCTGTTCTCTACTTACTGGTTAATAAAGATGTGGATGAGGAGAAAAACAGCTAAACGGCAGGATAACACAAGGAAGAAAGCCTGAGGCCTGGACAAGGGGAGATGGAATCCATTCCTAAATATTTGAGACTTGACCCAAATGGAGGAAGGTACCCTTTCCATGGAAATGCCTCTAACACCCTGAAAGTGGAACCTGCTAAGTATTTTCAGTGAACAGCTTTCATTAGAGTAGGAGCTAGAACTTGATCTTTCGGTTGTAGAGACAGTATCATGTAGCCACCTGAACAGACAAATTGAATTTCTTATGTGTGGATAACTCTCTCCCCTGAGTACTATCTGGGGACTGGGCAGCTTCCCTGGAGACTGCAGGGGAATTCTGGTCCTTCACAAGGAAAACTGAAATTTTCACCTGCCTGTACGGGAGGTGGGGCGAGACAACCTGTGTAGATCCTTCCTTGCAGCACCAGGACTGCACTGTTGTGAGGACTTGTCAGCACAAGAGGTCAAAAGACCCAGGAGACTGTCCTTTCTGACCCAGATGAATACAGGATGATCTCTATGGCTTTACTAAGTAGTATACACTTATCATCAAAAAATCAGAGAAGAGAAACGAATGATGTGAGGATACTTTATAATAGGAAGGAGATGTCACTGTGGCCCGCAACACCATCTCCCTCCTCAGTAAGCCACTGACTGACTGCACCTGTCATTTGGATGTGCTTAGGGCATATATTTACAGTTCCTGTATTAGTCTCATCCCTTCAAGTAGACTGCAGGCTCTTTCTGGCCAAGAATTACTTGTACATATGGTGAAGTTTTCTCTGTGCCTAGCACAAGGTTGGGCAGAGTGGAAACACAGTACTTATCACATAAAGATTTGTTCCTTAAGATGATGAGCTCGAGCAACTTGTAAAGCACCTGTTACATGCAGCAATCTTAGCATAAAAATATGAACAACTCACTGGGGCTTTGTGGTTCCTTGGTTCCCGGGCATAGGACAGCTCATAGATTTCATCTTCAGTGTAGTAGAGATCTAAGGACAACTGCAGATCAAAACAGAACAGGGTTAACTGCTAGGATGTTGTTTGCCTTTCCCAGGGTTGATGGGTTTCTTTCTTGGTACCTCCTCCTCTCCTAGGCTCTTTGGTTTTAAGATTCACAAAGCTTAGAGGGCGTAACACTTGGTACTGCAATAAGGCAAACATTAGCTCCTTCTTATTAAAATGTTTTAAATTTTGGAGAAGTTTCAAGATGTCCTCTTTTAAGATCTGATTTAATATCTAAGCCTGTATCTAGAGCTTAGGCAGAAGGCCCTATGTGGTCAGATGGTCCACACCTCACTTGTTCTCTACAACAACCCAGTTTAAATGACAACAGGTATTATAAAATGATACTAAGAGTTAATTTCATATAACTAATCTTGTTTGTAACCTAGAGTCTACGGATGGCTTCAAGAGGTCCAGAACTCGTGTCTATTTTTCTGGGCGGTTCATGGTTTTCATCACATGATTTGTGATCCAAGAAAGTTAAGATTTGGTACATCTTTTTAACAGACAATGTCTAAGGCCAAGGCCTGCCACAGTCATCTGGCCAGTTAGCAAAAGGGCTAACATTAGACCCCAGCTGGCTGTGAATCCTGGGGCTCTATCAGAATCATGATGTGAGGGAGGAAGAGGCTGTAACAGTTACTCCATTCTACAAAAATACAGATAAAAAGTTGTATAATTTTAGAACTGAGAAGTTGTAAGTTATCCCAGAGAGTAATCTCTGATTTACAGAGGAGGAAACAGATTTAGAGTTACATGCCCACAGTCACAGTGGTGAGCTACAGAATCATGCTTCTGGAAGGGAGTTTATCTGACCATGCAGGTAGGCTCCTGCACCACCACATGTGTTCACCTATTCTTGACTCGAATGCCTCCATTTTGTTTGCTTTTTTTACTCACTGCCTTACCCTTTTGTAACTGAGAATACACTATCCCTAACTCTTACAAAGTTTTGTATCCTAATTTGTTATCAGCTTCCTTCCTCCCAGAAAGTTGAGGATTGCTTTTGTAGCTGGGGGCAAGAAACAATTCTAGGATTCTGGAGGGCATACTGCTCAGGAGCATAACCTCTGGAGTCCTACCACCTGGGTGTGAACCCAGGTTCTGCTGCTTACTCACGTGTGGTCCTCTGACACGTCATATCCTTATGCCTCAGTATCCATGTCCAAACAATGGAGATGATGGTAGTACCTACTCCATTGTGTTTCATGAAAATGAACTGAGCTAATACTTGGTAAGGCGCAGAGAGTGGTGTGTGGCATACGGACAGCCCTCAGTAATTGCCTCCCGTGTGAGCCTCACCGTCAGCAGGTGCACCAAGTCCTTGTTGGCTTCCAGGGGTGGGGCCACCTCTTGCAGCTGGACCAGTTCGTTGATATGATTATAAAGAGCCAGCAGCTTGTGGACGTTCACCTTCCCATCCTCCAGGTAATCGGGCATGGCCTCGTACAGGGAGATGAGGTCCTTGAGGTGCACCCCCAGGATGGGAATCTTGAAATGGGTGCACTCCCCGTAGGCTCGCCGGTAGTTGTCATAGTTTCTACAGGAGGACAGGAGCTCGGTCATCTCCCCCAGAACCTACAAAACAGAAGAGACCCATTCACAGGTGCCCACCAGGCAGGTTGTACTGTCCGCAGAGGCCACCTTGTTTCCTCTCAGCCTCTCCCACTATTTCACCCCATCCCTAATTTGTCAGGCGGGAGGTGATGCGCTAAAAGCTACAGACTGTGACTCCCAGATTTAAAAAAGTCTAGCTGATTTCAAATGTCAGAGTGTATTTACACAAAGTATGCTTTACTTGATTGTACTATCTACTGGGAAATTTTAAGTGAGGTCTTATTTTTATACTGAAATTTAAACATAAAAATAAAAACCTGAGATAAAAATGAAAACAGTCCAAGAATATACAGCAGAGAGTAAGTGTCCCCCTGACCTCTGTCCCCACGCCATGCAGTTCCCCTCCCTAGTATCCTCTGAATGCTTCCAGAGACACGTGTGGAATGTGATGTCGGAAGTGCTGACCGTCGCAGGCATGGGGAACAGCTGGGAGCCTCAGTGGTCTATTGAGCGTTTGTCTGACTTACGCTGCCCTCTGTGGGCCTTCTCTCAGCGGTTCTCAGAACAGGCCTACGTCAAGGAAGCAGGTGATGTTCCACTCACAGACTGAAATCCTGAACCAGAGACTGAACCAATAGACCAATTTCCAGCAGAAGGCATGTGACAAGGTGAGGCTGAGGCCCCAGGGAGCTCTTCATTAGGGCTTCCGGCCCAGGAAAGGGCAGGTCTGTACAGCATAAAAAGGGAGCAGCCACCTCTGGTATTCTTGTCAAATATGCCTGGTTCAAGGTGGCAGTCTGCAGAACCCCAATCCCCATGCATGATGGCCGGCTTCCTCACAGGCAAAGATGGGAAGTAAAGACCACTAATTATGTTACAGCACAAAATATTTTAAACACTGCTGGAAATTCCTTTAATAAAATTGTGGCCTAAGAAGTACCATTTCTCCTCAGTGAAGAATTTGAGGTTTGAAGTTAGCCTCCCCCATTCACAATGAGCTGGCAAGACAGCCTCTTCCTCACCTCTGAGCCAACAGTGCTCACATGGTGAGAGACTAGCAGCAAAAATGAGATAGTTTTATTCTCCTTAGAAGGTGAAATAAACTACTAGGGGATGAGGGGATACTTGATTTAAGTCTGGCCGCAGACCACCCTGAGGGTCAAGCAGCTACAGACAAGAAAGCACTGCTGTGGAGGGACCCAAGGCTAAGAGGAGCAAGGTGTATCTTGTAAGTGAAACAGCACAAGAGCATATTAACCTCCATGACTGTCTCCCTCTGTGACTTCTGAGACATGAACAACCTTTTCAGTGGTTCCACCGAGTTCTGGCAGAACTAGTAGGGAATTGGGAGGTGGGGGTGGGGTGAGAGCAGGGATGATGAATCTGAGACTCCCCAGAAGGAGGCTGAACACCCGGGAAAAACGGGGCAATGAGACACAGGCATGTCTCTCTAAGAAGAGTCTGTCCATGCAGTTTGGGAGGCCTGGGGTTGAGGTTAGTAAGGGGGTCCTCTCCCACAAGATGGAAATGCTCAAAAGAGCAGTTAATCTGGTCCACACCGGAGCTGCATTCTTCTCTCCAGTGCGTCTTCGTGGTTTGTATTCATCACAACAGCCCTATGCTATAAAGAGCTAAAGTCTATTCTGTAACATCTAAAGAATGTAGAAAAGTGTATAGGACATTTAAGAAAAATACTCAACAAAACACTATCTATTACAAAGTGGCACCTGAAAAGGTCATTTTCAACTATCCAGAATGTCATTCTCCATAGGATTTGAATAGGTAGGTTTCTAATGTGTTGCTCGCTGTACACGTCTCACATGCAAACTGAACTACAGTCAACTGAAGCACTATTTAGGAAAACATTTTGGAACAAGTTGCTGGAGGAAGAGAGTCAGTATTAAAGACGGTGACTCCGAATATTCATAGGAGTGCAGGAGAGAGACACACATTCTTTCAACTGATCAGTTGGAACGTGTAGTAATGCTGAGCCCAGACTGAATCACAGTGACTCTCAGACCTGGGTCGTTCCCATCCTATGGGTTTTCTTGGGGTTTGCCTCCTTGGCAGTTTGCCTAATTGACAAAGGGTGATGTGCCCCGGAAAGGCTCTCTGGGTTGCCTCTTAAGGGGGAAATGTTGATGCTCGTCCTGGGAATGGTACTAAGGGGCCCCGGAGAAGCCAGTAGCACTGACCTTATTGATTTCATGTGGGACGTGCGAACTTGTCTCCTTGAGCCTGGAGATTGAGCTGTGACACAGCCCACCTATCACAGCCATCAATGTATTGAAGTTCTGTAGCTGGTGGAGCTTCTGTGACACAAAAGAGATGAGAGTAGTCAATATACATGTCAGTTACACGCCTCTCAATTAGAGTCTTCCTAATACCAAAGCCTAGCAATGAGGTGTTGCAGTTGTCGGACCACTTTCTCCCTTAGGCTTAATTTCAGACCAAAGGTCCCAAATTTAGCACGGTGTCACATCTTCCTTTGTTGCACTGGATCTGCGGACCATCCTCTACATCATTGGTTTCTAAGAACCGCCCAAAGTACTTGTTTAACCCAAAGATTTCTGGATCTAAGCACGGCTATTTGGATTCCTGAGATCTACGGCTGACCTTAGGGATAAACATTTAGGTAATATCAGAGTAGGTGGGCCATGTACTGACTTTGAGAAGCACTGGTCTTGACCACCTAGAGCTAATATTTTATATCCTTGATCCTAAATAACCAGACTTGTATTTTTAAGGACAAAGACGGTCTTTTCTGTGCAATGTCAGTGTCTATGCAAGACAGTAACTGGGAAAGGAGGTAGAATCTCGGGAATTTCAATTATGTGTTCGTACTACCTTGTTTTCCTCTTATCAAATGCTTAAACTCTGCCCTCAGACGTTAAACGCAGCCATTCGACACGATATGGGCTCAAAGACCTAAGAACTGAGGTGGTCCAGCTCCAGGAAATACTGGAAAATTTCCCTTTGCTGTGTGGGCCAGATTGGGGGCAACGATGTAGGCTGGTAAGCATCTTCTGAAAATGTTAAAAGATCTAAACAGATCTAAAACTGTATCCTGATCCCTGAGATAGTATGTATGGTCCTCACCATACTGCCCTTATATGGGAAAGAGACAAATCATCATATCTAAATCTGGGAACAGTTCAAGGCACATAAACTCCACCATGCTTTAGGAGAGGAAAGCAGCCCTAATTGATAGACTAGGTTGGAGGAAAGAGGGGATACTTTAGCTCATTGCCCAGGCCAAAATTCTTAACTCTAGTCACTCACCTGAGCCACCTGGATGAACTTGATGAAGACTTCTGCCCGGAGCTGTGGGGTGGGGCGGCTGAGAACCATCAGCTGTACCCACTGGGAGATGCCGTTACACAGGGCAATGGACCGCTCCATGGTGGGGTTCTCCTTCACGCAGCTGTTCACAAGGTAATTCTGATAATCGGAGAACTGGGGAAAAAGAAATCCATCAGGACTGCCTCTGGTATTCTGGGAGATCCGAGGGGCACATCACCTCTGCTCAGTTAATTCTACGGGACAGGGGAACTCTCGTCTTCTCCTTGCATGTCTTCCACTTGGCTGATAAGAATGGTGGGAAGGAAATCTTTCTTACTCTACCCACAGCATGGCCTCTCTCCATCAAAAGTCATCAGGCGTAAGTGGATGTGTACACACACTAGTTAACCCAAATACTGTATTTGAGTAGCTACTGATTGTGTCCCTTCTAAATTCTAAAGAATATAGAACAGAAATCTCAGTATAGACAGTCCCTGCCTAGAATGGTTTGATTTAGGATTTTTTTTTTTTTTTATTGTACAATGTTGCAAAAGCCATATGCATTCGCAAGAAACCATACTTTGAATTTTGAATCTGGACCTTTTCCCAGACTAGCCATATGCAGTACAAAACTTGTGATGCTGGGCAGCGAGCTGCAGCTCCCAGGCAGCCGTGTGATCAGGAGGGTAAACAACTGATCTGCTTACAACCATCTGTACTCATAACCAGTGTTTTCTACTTTCAGTATTCAATAAACTATAGCAGATATTCAACATTTTATTACAAATAGGCTTTGCATCAGATTTTGCCCAAGTGTAGGCTAATGTAAGGTGCTCCAAGTACATTGAAGGTAGGCTAGGCCGAGCTATGATGCTGACAGCTTAGATGTATTACATGCATTTCGAGGTAACGATATTTTCAACTTGAGTAAGATCTGTACTAGTTCCAGCTCTGTTGCTGAAATTAAGGGGACGAGCAGATAATCCTCTCACAATCTTTTTCTCTCTCTCTCCCCTGCACCCCCAACTGTTTCTTAACTTAAAAATGGGATAACAGGGGTGCCTGGTGGCTCAGTTGGTTGAGCGTCTGACTTTGGCTCAGGTCATGATCTCACAGTTTGTGAGTTTGAGCCCTGCATTACGCTCTCTGCTGTCAGCACAGAGCCTGCTTCGGATCCTCTCCCTCTCTCTCTGCCCCTCCCCTGCTCACGCTCTCATTCCCTCTCAAAAATAAACAACCGTCTTAAAAAGATGGGAGAATAAAATCTGGCCTATCCAGGTCACGGAATTGTTAATGTAACACAACAATGTGTGAAAGCACTTTACCTTTTCAGAGCGCTGCACACGTGAGGTGCTACTGGCCGGGTAATTATTAACCTCATGCTGAAACAAACCTGTTTGGATTTCCTTCAACTCACCAGCTTGGGCAGAGGCCACGTGAGTGGGGTACATGAAACCTGCTTAGCTATTACAACATAGTGACCACAGTTTTCCAAGTGGACAAAGGTACTGACTATGGCTGACAGTGAACAGCTTATATGAAACTGGAAATGTGTCAGGAGATCGCTGTCTAAGCAATGATTGCAGCTATCTTGTCCCTATCACAAACCATCCTCTGTTCAGATAGTATGACCACAAGGGACGAGTCGTCTACTCTGTTCTAGCAGGCCTGTGGAAGCTTTTGGTGCGGTTTCCCAGGGATGTTGAGCTCTCTGCTTCTGAACTCCCCTTTGAAATCAGATGTGACACGGTTTAGCCAGGAGAACACTGGGTGCAAGTGATGGGGCTTTTGAGGGAAAGATCTAAGAGCCAGTGAATGATGTGCCACGTTGCCTTTCCAATGGCACAGAGATGGCAGAAGTTCGTGTCAAGATGAAGCCTCCTACTTCTGGGTCCCTGAGTGACTGGGATCCGCAGAGGCCCTGCTGACCCACGTTAGCCTTCTACTGTCAGTAAAAAATAAACTTGCCTTTGTTAAACCACTGAGATTGGGCGGGGTGGGGGTGGGGGGGTTGTTACTTCAGTAGACGAACCGTAGTCCTGCCTGACTTGTAAGCAATACACTGAGGAGAAAAACTCATAACCTAAATCAAATACATGCAAATTAGCTGAGCCCCATTTTGCTGTGCTGTGATTGCTGATGGGTGGAAAAATAAGAGCAGACCAAAAGTACTCAAGATGGACACATAAGTTGGGGCACCCAGGTGGCTCAGTCAGTTAAGCGTCTGACTCTCGGTTTTGGCTCAGGTCATGATACCAGGGTTTGTGAGTTTGAGTCCCGCGCAGTGCTCTGCGCTGAGAGCTGTGGGGCCTATGTAGGATTCTCTCTCTCTCTCTGCCCTTCCCACTATGGGCTCCCCCTCCCCCTTTCTAAATCAATCAATCAATCATGAAAAAAAAAGAGGGACATAATAAGCAATCTTAACTGGTTCTGAGAGAAAGTTCCCATGACTCATTCCAGTGAATACATTCATATACCCCTCTCTCTATAACACTGAATCCACTTGTTTTTTAATATAATTAGTACTGTCATAAGTACTATAATAAGCAGGAAATAGCAAATGAGAGGGACACTACTGTTTGGGAAAACTGCTTAGAACTGTGTAGGTGAAACAAAATCCCCCAAGTCCTCTTCTGTGAAGGCATCATGCTACCCCGAAGAAATAAAAACTTAAACTGATGTTGTCATTTGCAAATAGAACGTGGTCTCAACTCGGGCAGAGCACTAGCTCAGAGTCCTAGTTCAATAGCAGTTTCTTCCGCCTCTGCCGGTCTGAGCACTGGCGTCGTGCAGACATCCCGGAGGCCTGCTGGAACCACCTCGCCAGCTGGGGCCTGGCACAGCTCAGATTCCCCATGTGATAAATGGCTCTTTTCAGTGTCCCTCCCTGTGACACGGGAGGCACTGCCAAATGGAAACTCCCCGGGAGGAACTTCCTAGTCAGGGCCTGTGGTTCTGTCAGGGTGGGGGGCGGGGGTTGGTTTGCCAGTGAATCAGTGCTTGGAGGCTTGTCTCCACATGGGAGTTGGGGGGCTGGCTGAATGGCCGCTCGGCTATGTGTAAACGGGACGATGTCGGCAGCATGGGAGAAAAGATGAAGTAACTCTAACCTGGTTTGTAGTTCTCCTTCCAGACACAAGCTGTCTCAATAAGTTGGCGCTGAGTGACAAAGAGTCATGTGGCCCCAGCCCTGGTCTAACAGGCCGAGTGACCTTGTTTAGGCCACTTTCTGAGCAGCCCGTCCCCTCATCTGGGGAACACAGGTCATTCTAAGAAACGCATCCGGCAACTAGGTAGTCTGTATTTTTAGAGCAAAGTTGAAGACTGTCTTTTGGCAGGGGTGGACACAGAGTGGACGACAGGTATCATTTCTCAGGAAAGCATATTGGCCAGCGAGGGTCTGTTGGCATCTGACATGCTGACAAGTTCTCTTGTACAGAACCAGCGTTCTTTGGTATCACATAGGGAGTTTTAAGGAGCAAGGTTTGGGTCAGCATGGTTTATCTCTAGAATCATGGGTGACTGCTGGGCCCTGTCAGCACTCTGTCAAGAACTCGGCTATATTCTGGGCTAGAAAATTAGTGTATACTTTATTTCAGGATTTCCCAGAGCTATTCAAAGCCTATCCTAGAATCAAACTCTGTAAGGACATATCCTCATTTTTTTTTTTGAAGGAAAATTTAAAAATAAAAATCTGGAAGCCTAATGGTTATCAAGGGTAAGGTGTGTGGGTGTGTGTGTGTGTGTGTGTGTGTGCGCGTGTGCATGTGTATACTTGTCTATGTATGCATGCAGGGTGTCACCTGTGCCCACAGAACTGTCACCTGAGTGAGTGGTGGGATGGCATGGATGACAGGAGGTGAGGAACACAGCAGAGAAACAAAGAAATTTCTAGTGTACTCATTTTCCAGACTCTACAAAGTCTGATGGGAAAGCCTGAGCTTTGGGGGGGATGGAGGGACTCCAGGGTTAGATGGCAGATGAGCTGTTGAATTGCTCTGCTTGTTTTCTGACATAGCACAGGGAAGTTTTCCTCCTGCCCCTTGGGTACATACGGATATCCTCCGGAAGGACTTGAACTCAAGGTACGTGAGGTGCTCGGATAACTCTTCTGGTTCCAGGTGGTCAAAGAGCAGGGAGACTTTACGCTTCTTGCTGGTGTTCGATTTTATCCTTTGAGTCAGTTTCCTGGACCAGTCACGGGCATTGCTTTTGTGGACAAACATGAATGGGAGAAGATGGGGAAAAAGAATAAGTCAGAATTATTTTTTAATTCGAGTAAATCTACAAGAATATACAAAGCACCATTAGCTAACTGTCTTCGACCAAAACAAAGCATTAACACTTTCCTCAAATCAACTTTTTTTTCTAGGGCACCAACAAGGAAAGCCTTGCTTGTTTTCAACAAACCTTCTGAGCATGTCAAGGGGAACTGGGTAGAATGTGTCTACTTTAAGGCCGTGGGGAAGACAGTCTCGGGCATTGGTCACAGTTTCCTGGCCTTTCATCCTTGCTTTCCTTTGTCCCCTGGCATGTCTGCGGTCTCCATGCCCTCCGTGTGTCCCTTCGTTCTCCTGAGGGTGACGGGGACTCTCTCTTTGGGTTGGAGATCTCAGCTTTGGTGCCAGGAGAGCACAGAGAACCACAGAGATGAGAAGCTGTGCTTCAGGGAATCGTGCACGAATGTGTGGTCACTCTGAGCAGACTTGTGGCATTTCCCTCAGATATTCCCAGACACTGAAATGACCAAGGAAGCCTATCTAACCCTAGAGTGCCCCTCCAATCCCCACATTTTCTTATAATTCTTATAATTTCTTATAATCGATCAGTGTGTTTCAATTTCCCTCACTACGTCAGCAGAAGGAAGCAGCAGATTTTGAGAGGCAGCAGGGTAAAGATCTGTGTTTCCCAAACTGGTATTCAGGAGCACCTTGTCTCTTGACAAAGGGTTCTGTGCTCAAATGAGTCTGGGAAATGCTACAGATTCTGTAGCCCCGTTGGTTAATGAACACGTTACAGGGTAAGATGTGCTGCAAAAGGGAAGCTTCACTCACTACCTCTCAAGCAGATCTGGTCAGGCACTATCCTACTGACTACTTCCCAAAGAACTTACTGTGGGAAATCCTGGTAGAAAAAAGCCAGCTAGGTACATACTGGGACGAAGACACTGGGGTGTGAGAACTGCCCTATGCCCCAGGTTCTATAAGTTTAAAAAGAGAGCATTGTTACTTTGAAATTTTATATTAAAAAATTTTTTTAAGTTTTTAAAAATTTATTTATTTTTGAGAGAGAGAGTGTGTGAGTGGGGCAGGGGCAGAGAGGGAGACAGAGGGTCTGAAGCAGTCTCTGCACTGACAGCACAGAGCCTGACGTGGGGCTCGAACCCAGGAACTGTGAGATCATGACCTGAGCCGAAGTCTGACACTTAACTGACTGAGCCACCAAGGCACCACTCTTTGAAACTTTATCTTTCAAGTTGTAAATTCTAAGCAGAGAAGTACAGTGAATCCAAACTGTCATACAGAAAAATATTTGGGGCCGTGAAATGTGATTCTGAAGTCATTTCTGTGTGGCTATGGGACAGCACATTGCCAGGGCTGTCACAGTCCTGCTTCGGCTCTGCCACTAACTGTGTGACCCCAAATGACCTTGCTAAGCCTCCATTTCCTGGAGTGTTGGAAGAAATGATCTCCAGAATATGCTTCAATCCTAGAAGTCTATATTCCAGGGATGTGTATTATTCCAAAACAAAGGGGCCACACTGAGAAAACCTTAGCATGCAGTGTGTGTGTGCACGGTCCTCTCCCTGACTTAGGAAAGGCTCTCCTGCTTCCAGAGTGGGCCAATCTCATAGACAGGAAATCCAAGGTATGATCTGAAATATTCCCATGAGCCTTCCCATCTCTGCAAGTCTAAGCGTCTGTCGTGGACACCCATACAGGTTAGAAACCCTCAATGCATTTTTGCACTGCCCCTTCCTCACTGACAAGGGCCCACACCTGAGGCACGTGCTGCTGAGGAAGCTTAGGCAGGTGCTTTCAGTTTCTCAGGACCTGGGTGCATTTTAGTCAGTACCTTGCTACCTGATTTCTTTTCCACTGGGACTTTTTTTTTCCTTCTGCTCTTGGATATTAGTCACTTATAGCTTTATCTGCTTTCCTATTAAATGCCAGTCTTTTCACTTTTCAGCCGATCAGATGCAATCTGAGCCTGTGTGAGGGGCTTCTCCGAGTGGGCCAAGAGCAGCTGTCAGAGGCGGCACAGAAGGGGGGGTGGTTTGGAAAGGCGAGCCCGAACCCGGACACTCACATCTGGGTCGTGTCAATCAGACGGCGGTGTAGCTCCTCCCCGTTGGCCTTCACCAGTTCCTGGAACTCCTCCATGGTGTGTGTCAAGCTGGCATCCATTTTAAACATGATCCAGAATTCTGTTATCCAGTACCTAAAAGGTGGGAGTTAAAAAAAAAAAAAACAAAAAACAATCCAAAACTGCAGCCAAGGACTCGTGCTTTGGTGGGTTCTTCCCCATGAAGAGGAATGAGGAAGACACAGAGGCTGGCCTGTCCTTCTACATGCCTGGGAACACAGAATATATATTCTATATACAGAATATGAGGGGGTGGGGGATGGGAAGAAAACCACCTGCTGGCAGTCCTCTGCCCCTGCACACCGGCATGCTGTGATAGGAGGGGCGAATCATAACAGAAAAAGCCGTGACAAAGATTTAGGCACCAGCATGTGTGTCACAGATAATTAGAAGGAGCACAGCTACAGACAGACCAAATGTCCAAAGACAGGGTAGTACACATGTAAGTTACACTCTATCAGATCTCAGAATATTATATGGCCATTAAAAATACTGTCTACAAAAAGTTTTTAAATTTTTTTTTTCAACGTTTTTTTATTTATTTTTGGGACAGAGAGAGACAGAGCATGAACAGGGGAGGGGCAGAGAGAGAGGGAGACACAGAATCGGAAACAGGCTCCAGGCTCCGAGCCATCAGCCCAGAGCCCGACGCGGGGCTCGAACTCACGGACCGCGAGATCATGACCTGGCTGAAGTCGGACGCTTAACCGACTGCACCACCCAGGCGCCCCTACAAAAAGTTTTTAATGACGGAAGAAGATTCCTATGATATGAAGTGAAAAATATAGGACACAAAATTCTATATGTATTTTGATCTCAGCTATGTTAAAAAAAAATCTGCTTAGAAAAAGGACAGAGGAAATATCCCAAAATGTGGGGTGGGATATGAATAACTATTACTAAAGTTACCCTCTCTTCTGTATTTTCAAAATGCTCTAATATGACCTGTGTTACTTTTACAATTAGGAATAAAAATGAAAAAGAGAAGAGATCCTTCCTTATCTCTGTATCTCTCCCTACTGCCATTTGATATCAAAATGCTATCAGACTGAAGAAAAGGCTGGTATGAAACAGTAAAGCTCAGCCATGCTAGAAAAACACTGCTCCAATAAGGGATCTCTAGCACGCAGCACTACCCTTTCCAGTCTCCCAGAGGTGATGTATGGACAGGACAGGATAGGTGGGAAGCACAAGGAAAAAACTAACACCCCTTGCTTCAGTCTTTCATTTCCGCCTGCTCCACAAGTCCCAACTGCACCCACAAACATTACCTTACAAAATAGCAGATCTTCAGGCAAAGCCCTGGCGAATTCTTTGCCAAGGCATCCTTATAGGTAGGGCTGTGGTTAAGGGAAATAAAAGCCTCTGTTACAGAAACCAAACAACTTCTTATCTGTGGAAGTATTTGCTAAAACTACCCCCCTCCCAGATGTTTTCTTCTCTTTCTGGCCATAGGATAAAAACCAACTTGATGTGTGCAGCTGTATGCATATTATCACCTTGGAAGGGTGACAGTGGTGACCTTCCATGTAGCCCACACTGAAATGGCTTGTGGAAAGGAGGAGAAGTCCTTTGCAGAAGGAGAAGTGGGAAGCCAACAGCGTGGAAAGGTCCCAGCACAGGTGGCCTCTATGAAGTGAAGGGGCAAAAGGCCTCCTGCCCATGCCCAAGAGATGAGGACTCCCACTGAAACAACTTAAAAAGAGGAGCCCCTCTCTTTTAAAGTGATTCCAGTAATGGATAAACAATTTGTGCTGTAAGTTAGAAGGGGAATGAATATTCAGATATATTGTCATGATAATTAAAAGCAGTAATGTGAAAAATGGTAACATATGCGCCTAAGGGGCTCAGTAGATGGACCTTGTAAGTTGTGATGGCAAGTCAGACAAAGCCATGTGAACAATCCAAAATACAATCATTGATCACGTTTAAGGATCCATGGCGTTCGGAATATTCCATGAGAAGGGTGCCATCCTAAGAATATCAAAGAATAGTAAGATCCCATTAAGTTTGCATATCTTTAGAAATATGTGGAAAGAATATTTCTTTTATGAGCCAAAGAAATGCAAAATCCAATCCAATGGTGAACCTAGGTGGATCTACCACTTTTGATCGACACACTGAGGAATCAGGCTGGTATGTGCACTGTGCACGCCCGCAAGGCAATGCCTTCTTTCCCTTTTAAAAACTGCCATCATAACTGCAATACGGGGTTCAGTGATTCCCAGGCCCTACTGGGAATTCAGTAGGAGTGGTCCAGTGAGGAGGCCAGTGAGTAAGATGGCAGAGATCTCAACGGGACGGAGTGGTCTTCCTTCAGTGGGAATGTGTATTCTAAACCTCTGAAAAATTTACAGGTAAATACAGAAAAGGGAAAGTCCACATCTTAGGATTAGTGTTTTTTTATTAGGAAGGAATCTGAGCATTTGGGGATTTTGTCTCCCTATAATATTTTAGAGCATATTAGAACGATAGTCTTGAAACTGTGATTTGGAATATATAATTAAGTGCTTTAGACTTGTGCTTTTAAACTGAAATCTTACTAAGTTTAATCATAGTTTTGGAACTTCTAAAATAATGGTAACTGTTTATAACTCCAATGTACTATTATAAAAACCATTTAGAATTCAGGAAGGCATCTTAAGTATTTAAAAATAATCCAAAATTTAAAATTCATAATTGTAGTTTAAAACCATTGGAAGTACTTAATTACCATTATTCAAATTAACCAAACATTTTTCAAGGTCCCTTAAAAATGCTTGGTGAAACATGTTAGGCTTATAGAAAGAAGAATATTTGGAAGCTAAACCTGAATCCCTAAAGAAGAGCTATGGTTGTAAAATTTGTACTTTTAATAAAATGACTTGAATTTAAAAACTAAATTTTAATAGATTCACTGCCTATAAAATCTGTCTTCAGAAGCACCAAAACAAAAACAAAACACAAAACCCCACATGCATAACAACATGGACAATAAAAATAAAAACCCCAGGAAACCAGCAAACTGCATACAATAAAAGGCTTTGATGACTGCCTTTCTTTGGGCATAGAAGTTAAGAGTGAACCAGAATGACTTTACATTTCTTATGCTGCACTGCTGAGGAAATGTCTGGCTTCAGTGCCAAGAGATTCAAGCACAAGGCACATTCCAGATCAATAGGTGTCAGCTTCTATACTTCTATTACTTGATGTACTTCTCGAAATTTTTGTCTTCCTTTCTAATGGGGAAGGCAGAGAAAACATACTTCTCCTTTAAAACAACCAAGTAGATCTATAAATCAACATGGTGCCCTTTACTATGGACTTTTCTTCCTCCCAGTCACTCCCTGTCCTTCCCTCCCTTTGACCATCCATCCTTGTGGGACGAGGGCCGAGGGCGGGGCAGAACCTGTGTGACCCAGTGAACCAGTCAGTGTGCATGCGGGTGCTCCGCATGCAGGGGGCAGGCAGGCAGGGTGCCCGTCCTAAGGGCAGAACCTCCCTGTTCATCAGAGCCCCTAAACCATAGCAAAGGCAGCCCTGAAGTGAGGCAGAGCACCCGCTTTCTCCCTTTGGGGGAGAAGGGGAACACCCAGTATATGCAGGCCAGTAAAAGAGGCTCAGGGGTCTGTCTGCCTTGCAAGGCTTAAGGTCATTGCTTGCTGGAAGCTTCAGGCTCCACGCATTTTCCTTCTCTTCACAGCTGGTACCAGGACTATGAAGTACAGTACAGTTCTGACTGTACTTTTCAGGCATTTGAGCCATTCAAAGCATGTTTCAAAATCCCAGTCTTTTTTTTTTTTAACAGTGAAAAATCAGGAAACAACAGGAAACCCGTAGCTTATTTAACTAATAATTCTATTACTCCCAGGTCAGAAAACAGAGACAGACACATGAAGAGAAAATCATTCTGCCTCCAGTGTTTAACCTGGGTTTCAATGGTAGGCAGTCTTATTTCATATTCCCTTCTTAGAATCTCTTCTACCACCCCAGACCTGAGCAAAGCTTGAGTTTTTCACCTAGAAGTCCCAATATAGAAAGAGTATTCAATGTTTTTCATGAATGGTAAGGCAACATATGTTGTGTCCAATCATGAGATGGTCCCTGAGCTAAGTTCTAGAGAAACAAATAAGCTTTGGTTCCTGATGTCGATGGACACACGGATTAGTAGAGGAGACATGTAAGTGGATAAGTTACAGCGTATATATTTTTAATATATGTTGAAAATTTATATATTTTTCTTAAGTTGACTTGTAATCAAATTAATTTTTAGTACCTTTGCAACTTCCTATATTACTAACGCAAATCAAACAGCAGCTAGACGCAAAGTTTCGGCAATTGACTTGAAACAGTCATCTATAAAGATCAGAGCACATATGTATCACACTGGCAAAACTCAGACAGAAGTCTTGGTAGGTCAATTTATTTAGCTAACAGAATAGAAATACCTCACACTTTCTGCAGTCACGGATGGAAAGCTTTTCAAGGTGGGTTACATCCGGACCAGAGAGGTGAGACACACTGACTTTAGCAATACAAAACTAAAGTGACAGGAATTAGATTTTCAAAGCATTATTTAAAAACACTAGATGTATCTTTAAAAGGGAGGGGTGTGTGGAGGCCTGAAAAGGTCAGGAAAGACTTCACAGAAGGATCCTGAAAGAGTCTGCTTGCTAGGCAATGAGGGAGGCAAAGGCATCCCAGGCACAGGTGTACTGAGCAGTTCCAGGTCTGGAAGAAAGGGCTTCTGGGAGAGCTGCAGGGTGGAGCTGAACGGACACCCCGACTCAGACTGTGGAGGCCTTGTCCTGGCAGCTGAGGAGGGCATTACCAGTGCGGCCTACAGGGGCTCTGGAGCAATGGGCTTATGTGATGTGCTTCTCCGGAAAGTAACGTCCAAGGTGGCTTGTGAACTGGCACGTGGGGGAGAACAGCAGTCCCAGAGAGGGGCCTAGGAGAGAAGATGGAGGCCCACATGAAGCCCGGAGTGGTGGGGGGGCGGGGCAGGGGGAGAGAAGAAAACAGCTAACAGTCATTTCTGAAGGAGAAGCCCTGGGACTGAGTAGTGGACTCTGTAGGAGGTGAAAGGCAGGGAGGAGTCAAGTGTGCTTCTGAGGTTTCTGGTTGGGGCGATTGGATGGGCGATGACACCATGCACTGAAACTGAAACTGAAAATGCAGGTGTCAGAGCAGAATTAATGGGCAGTAGTTGGAGATGAAGCTGGTGAGAAAACGAATTAAGGCTTGAGCATATTAAGATCCAAGTGTTGGCAGGACAAATTAGTCCGGATATTTTTTACAAAATGGCTTGGGTTAAAGAAATATAGATTTGAAAGTCCATGGCACCAAAGGATGGAGGTGGAGAGCCTGGTGGGGAATTACCCAGGAAGGAGGTAGAGTGAGAAGTAAACCAGGACACTGTCCCCTTATTTAAGATGTGCTCAGAGAAGGCGCCAGATGGGAAGTCAGAGGAGGGGCGGCTCAGGAAGGAGAAGAGCCAGGGGGCACCGCCTGGGAGCCCTGCAGGAGAGGGTTTGGAGAAGCAGGGGATTGTCCACAAAGCCCAGAGTAAGCAAGGACAGAAAAGAGCCCCTGGCCTTAGCCACCAGGAGGCCACTGGTGACATCAGAGGAAAGTCTGAGCACGGGTGGGGGCCCAGGCTCAGTTAAGGAGTGAGTGGGAGTTGAGAGATTGGAGATAGTGAGTGCAGACTATTTTAAGACATTTGTGCATCAAATTTCTAACCCTAACAATGGAACAGAGGGAAGGCAGGGCTGAGAAGTTTATTTTTAGGCTGGGGAGACTTGAATGCGTTTTAGGCTGAGGGGCAGGTGCCATTGAGGAGACAGAGGTGAAAGTGGAGGAAAGGGACAGGGGTGAGGGGTCAAACCTTTGGGGGGTGGGAGAGAGCAGGGGGAGGGTAGAGGGTCTGCCCACCATGGGGACACAACTGAGTCCCTAGACCAACAAGTGTTTCACTGAGGAGTTTTTAATCACTGATACTGTTAGAACTATTGGTACATGGAGTTAACAAAAAGTCGGAAGACTGTGAGTCAGCTTTATGACGGTTTAAAAATTCTCTGCAGACCAGATACCCACTTATGACCTGCACCTCTTATTACAGAGACCCCTCCCAATGCTCTTCCCTTGGAATGCTGCTGGAAACATCTCCTTTGATCTGAAACGCAAAGATTTATAAGTAGGGTTATAGAAGAGATTCAGTCTCTTCTGGTGGCTTTTTACCTTCTGGTGTGCCATGAGATGAAATGGGAGGGGGGTCAGGGGAGGGGTAAAGGATCAGAAGAGCTACCACTCGTGACTCAGTGCCAGGGACCCGGGCTTCAGGTGCTCAACGGTCTCACCCCAACTACAGCCACAGCTTACACTGTGCTCCGCGAGCAGGAGAGGGCAGGCTCCTTCTTCACCCTACTCGCTTTGCACCGCGTAAGACAGTTAAAATCCAGCCAGGTTTGCTGGGCTGAGAGCCATCTCTGCCTGAAGCAGAAGCACCAGCAGACTCCAGCTACTGGGGTGTCATGCAGCTCTTTCCAGAACCTGGGGAAAATTGAGGAATTGGACAGGAAAGCCAGTTTCTCATCTGAGTTATGACTGCACCCCCCCGTCAGTTTGCACAGGATGAAAAGGGATTCTTACTAACCTACAGGACACGTATTTTTACTAGCCAGACACGCTGAAGACCACTGTGTTTGCCCGTTGCTGTGACTACTTGCCAGAGCAATCAGCATTGCTAATACTGCCCCACCCAACAGAAGTGACACATACGTGTGCATGTGCACGCAGACACCCAAGACACACAGACAAACCCCATACCTCTCAAAGGACATTTGGACCC